ATTGAAAATGAAGTCTTTAGTCATTACCTCTCCTTTCTTTCCGTGAGCTGTAGTGAGGCAGCTACACAACTTCCACTGATAGAGAAGGGACACTTTTAATCAGACTGAAATCTGCTTCTCATAATAAAAACATGTAAGCCTTACAACGAAGTCCCACCTCCCTCATTGATCATGGTGACAGACATGTAGTCTGCCTAAGGACAGTCTCTGACAGTGTTTAAAGCTGACAGCTGCAGTTGATAGTAATTTTGCAGATTTACAGTTTACATTCAGAAGCATATCACTGAAGGTCCAGCTGCCCAAAAGCACATGTACCTGCACCTGTTGTGTGGTGCACCTGGATCACCACACAACACACATACAAACAATTATTCAACAAAAAAATTTAAAAAGTGCTTTTACTGGTTGTACTCAAGTTTACTGGTAACTCTGTTCTATTTAAAACGTATACTTTGTGAGCCACTACTTTTACTTACAGCCACTATGTTTTGGAGGTTTATGTGGTCATACATTGTGCTGATCAAGGCTGCCATTAAAGGCTCCGTGAACTATCAATTAGAGATGACATAGTTAGAGATTCAGACACCCACCTCCTACGATATTGTTCTCCTAGCTACCTAGCTAAGTGAGGTTTAATGGTGTTCAGCGAAAGCTAGTCGCAACAAATCAATTCACATGTGGACAGGGGGAAATTCTGGGTCATGTCCTTATATTTTAAAGGCAAAGTCAAGTATTATATATTTATATTCAACTACTTATACACTAAAGAAAATGAGTTTGTATTCTCAGCAGAATCATTCTCTCATTCTCTTCAGTTCACCTCCTCAGTGTGAACAGCTTGGAGAATTACAAGAGCAGCAGCCTTGTACGTAAGTGGACCTTGAAGAATGCTGCAAAGCAATAAGAGCAGCTGACATCCTGCTCTGAGACGCCACTAATAATACTGAGGGTGTACACACACACACAGACACACACACACACACACACACACACAGACACACACACACACACACACACACACACACACACAATCAAAGTGAAGAACATGAAGGAAGTAAACAAGGTTGAAAGACAAGAAAAGACTTAAATGCCATGACTGGAGGATGAGGATGACAAGGAGGCCTTAGCAGACTGACTGACGGCAGAGGGAATTGTGGGATATGTCTTACCAGGCTTTTGTACACCATGAGCTTCCTGCTCTCCATTCTCCACCGTAGCACCCGAGTCTGCACACACATACACACACACACACACGCACATACACATACAGAACAATCAAACACATTACTACCCATCTGAGCGCTAATGGCTTGACGAGATAGAAAATCAAACTGCATCGTATTGGTTTGTGCGGAAATTTGACAGACTGCATCTGGATTCAAATGGAAACTACTGACTCTGACCTTTCTGGCTTTTTAAATGGTCCCTCAATATAGCTGTTGTACACTAGGGGTGTGTGTGGTGAGCTTTGTGCCTGTGGGTGTGAGCCGTGGTCAGACTATGGGAAGGCAGAGGGCAGCACATATCGGATGGTGTCGGTGTGGGATGATGGACGAGGCGATGCTGTGTGACATCCGACTGCTGAATCCTTCAACTTTGCACAGTAGCAACACACCAAGGCTCTAACATATAAGGGCACAAATAAGTCAAACACACACATACACATCCACAGGCATGCGCAGAAATACACATGCACACACACAACACTGATTGTGGTAAATGGGCTGTTTTCGCAGTTTGCCTCTTGTCCACCCATAAACTCACCAGTCACACAGATGGCTGTGAGCTGCAGTACCACACAGGGTGCAGGTACAGTTCAGGGTTCACGATCTTGCTCAAAGACACTTGGGACAGTGATTGAACCACCAATCCTGGCACTCTGCTGCGGTACTATATCACAAAGCAAGTTCAACTTAGTCTGGCTGTCTTTAGGTCACCTGAGCCTAACATCGGCAATCCTAACCAGTATCATGAAGCTGGTTATCAAACAGCTCAGTTAACGCTCACTGAAAACGCCATCATAAGAACCATGGGTGTAGTGTTTCTGACCAAACACACTGATGTATCCTTGACACCTAACAAAAAATTGATGCTAATGCTAATGCTCTTCTTCTTCGCTGCCTTTGGTGGCACATTATCGTAGTCCGTCTGTCGTAGTCGTAGTACAACCGGAGATGGTTAATCCGCTGACCTTGCTTCGTGATATAGGCCACATCACATGCATACAGTACACACACATCAACATACAGCTCAGCATGTCAGCAAAGCCATGCAGAAATCCCAAACCACAGATATGCATGCAACACACACATACACAGAATATATGATTCACTGATTCAACACACAGGACACAGATACAACAGAGCGCAGGACACTCATCCAACACACGAGGCATCAGGAAGGCACATTACGTGTGCATCAGGGCACCACAACAGCACCTCTAATAAAGAAAAAACGAATCTGCGCCTCCTCTGTCTAGCTCTCCTGCTGACAGAGGACAATAAACTGCGGACTGCCTAGCCCTGCTGTTTGGCACTCAGGGTGTCAGCATGTCAGCATTTGTCCAAATGCACACTGCGTGCCAGAGTTGATCACTGGCAACACCACCCACGGCCCGTCCTGCAGCCGGCTGCCACTGACGAGTGCCCACACACAGTCTGACTGTCTGACCAAAGTGTCTGTGTAACCAAAACAGGCCCAAGAGCTGAGTCATCCCCAGTTCACTGTCACTTCCTTTTATCTGGTTGTGCACTCAGCTGTTTATCTCATCCATCTACTGTTTGTCTATCTGTTTACTTCCTATCTACCTATCTGTATGTTTCTGCTTCTCTCTATCTCTGTGTAATAAACTAACAAGCTGAGCAAGATTGGAGGCTCTCAAACCATTTATAGAAAAATATACAACATCATATGTTTGGCTTAGTACCACTGTATTCATATCCTGTATCTGTGACAGCGGCTGTTTTATTTCTTTTACAGATGTTAATCAAGGCTCTTGTGAAGACGGTGCTGTTGTAATGATGCAGAAACAGTAGAAACAAGTATTTTCAACCTGTGGAGGATTGAAAATAAGTTTTTTGCACAGCCTCATTATCTTTTTCGTAGGTTGTTCAATGACTTCGATATCATACTTTGATGTTTGGCCATTAGTGCATCAAACCTACAGTTTGCTAAATAATGTTCTATTTCAATAGGAGGCAGTAGTCATCAACTAGTAAGTCTGTTTGTGAAACACCTACACAGAGCCATGAAACCACCACATTTTCTAAACGCACAGAAAAACCAGCTACAATACCGGTTCCAACACTACACATCAAAGACAAAACTTGCTATGAACTTTCTTTTTCTTTCCCTCAAACCTGGTACATCATCGCCGGTTTGAAGCTGCTTTTGAAATTAAATGAGTAAATGTTGCTTCTTCCCTCACTGTACAATGACATGACATGTTTAATATGTAGCTGATAACACAGTGCCATCCAAAGCCCATGACCTACACTTCTTTATTTATCCTGGCAGGTTGGTCAGGGACACATTCTTGTTTCCATCCAGGGCCTTGGACAGTAGCAGTGAGGTGGGTTATCATGGAACTAAACCTTGAACATCTTTACTGGAGCAGATGGATGGAGTATTTGCACTTTAACTGTTCAGAGTGCAGGCACTACTTCCTGTTTAGTTCCCAAATGTCACCAGTCAGCTGGGATAGTCAAATCAGTGACCGCTGCTCTGCTTATCTTCCGGATACTATCATCCCTGTGGCTGAATGACAGCGCAGCAGATCCAAAATGGCAGCCAGTGTCCAGCGGTGCCCGATACTATCAGTCATTTAAGAGCAGCTGCAGTTCATGTTATATAACACGTTTAAGATAATGTAGATGCAATCAGATTCAGAGGTGCAAATAAAAATACAATGTCATCCAGGAAAATTTCAAATGCCTTTAGTATGAATGCAGGAATGTTTGTGGAGTTCAACATTTTAGCTCTTTTTTAAAGCTGCACTAAACAATGTTTTTATATTAAAATTTGATTAAATTACAATGCTTAATGTGAAAGAAACTCACAGATTTATCACTTGACTCTGCTAGCTTTGCAGAACTAGGGTCTAGTAGTAGTTGTTAGCATCTTTTAAAAGCTCACTGGTTGGCCTGCATGTAAACTTCACTCTCATCCACCTCTTTCCAGCCACAGCAGGCAACTGTTTTCAGTGATAATGCTCCGATAAACCCAGTATGTGCGCACCTCTCCGGCACCAAACAGCAACTAGCCGCTGATCATGGTGAATCTTTCAGTGGATCAAGAGTCAGTTATTTTTTCGGGAGCAAGACAGGGCTAAATGAGATTGAATATTACAGAGTTAAATTTGCCAGGTGATTCCCTCTGTTGCTAGACGTATAAACAAGCTGTTAGCTAACATGTTAGCTAATATGTCAGCGTTGTGTTTTCGGCTTGCTCTGTCCAAAAAAGCAGTGTTGAGTTCACAGGTATATAAATGAATAAAATCAACATCTTCCAAATAACCACTCCATAGTTTAAAATATCAGCCTTGGAGAATTCTTTTATCACACCTGTACAATGGAGATGAATGGATTTTTTTTTTGTTGTGATGCTAAAATTTGTGTTGATGAGATGATGTTTTGAGCAACACAAACAAAAGTCACCTCCACTGTTTGGGTTAGGGTGCCTGTTTTGGTGCAAATGTGTCTCTTGTAGTTGGGTTGAACTGACATTTTCATTTCAGTGATCAATTAGAATAAACATTGCTGTATCATCACACAAATACAGCTAACCTGGTTGAAGTTATTGGTGGAATCAAAGAGCCCTCGACAAAACCCGCCTCTGACTTCATTTCCCTTTTCTCTGCCTCTTTGTCCTCATGATCAATTGATACCTGTCACCCACTTTTCATCTTGTCTTGGCATCACTGTCATAAGTCCAAACAGAAGAGAACGGAAAGGACGTGACTTGTAAGGAGACAACACACTCTACTGTCACCATCGTCTCACCTGCCCTGGTGTCATCGTTGTCCAGCAGGGGGATGTAGTCTGTCTTTCCCACCGTCTCCCCGACCTGATCGTCGAAGGCCTCAGCCTCCAGCTGAGCCACAAAGTCCCGCTCCACCAGGCTCTCAGGGCCTGGCTGGGGAGCGCTGTCTGTTAGCGCATCACTCAGACTCAGGTCTAACTCCGCCATGACTGCACACAAACAGAGAGACAGGAATAAACACAGGAACAGGGAACATGTTGCCACTTCATTAACGGTGCTCTAAAACTCTAAAGCAAACAAGTCACAAAAGTAGAAAATAAAGAACGAGTCACCAAGTAGCTTATAGCTGTTTTAGCTATAGTTGTCCTACAAATGCTCTTCATCTCATAGAGGGGGGAATTTTTTTTTTTTTTAAAGGACCAGTGCGCAGCATTTAGTGGCATCTAGTGGTGAGGGTGCAAATTGCAACCAACTGAACACCCTGTAGTAAAAGCTACAGTGGCCGTCAGTTAACGTAAATATGCAAAAGGCTCTCTCTAGAGTCAGTGTTTGATATGTCCGTTCTGGGCCACTGTAGAAACATGGCAGGCTCTGTAAAAGAGGACCCGCTCCCTATGTAGACACGTATGGTCATTCTACACTAAAGAAAACACAATAAATCTTAGTTTTAGGTGATTATATACTAATAAAAACATAATTATAAATATACTATTTCTGCCAATAGATCCTAAATCCTATAAAGTAATCCTTTAAGAAAATGGAAATAATAAAATGTGCTGTACACAGACGATCTTGAAGGCACTTCCACAGAGAGCTAAATCACGATGTTATGTCATTTGGTGGGTGCAAATTATTCATGCCTGGGATTTTGAGTCATCATTCAACCCTGGGGTCAAATGACGGTGCTTCACAATGAAAAACAATAACGATATGATCATATCACTTGATGCAAAAGTGTTAAGAACAGATGGAAATGAAAATGAAAAACAGATGAAAAGATTCTGTTTGTGTGTTTTTCTTCCCCTCAACAATAGTGTACTTTTGAGTGAACTTGTAAATATTACCACTTGAGTTCAGTTTTTCAATTTATATCTTTTTAAACTTCATTTATAGCAATGGAAGACAATGGAAACGGTAGAATATTTCTGAGAAATGATCGCTTTGAAATCATGGGGAAATCTTAAACATCAGTCCTAACTATATCCTGGATTACAGTCACAAAAAGCCTAGACGCTGAAGCTGAAATGGAGAGATAAAGATTAGGAAGTGGAGGTAAAGAAATAGCAGAAGAAACTGAAATAGATGAAAATGGAGAGAAGTGGTTCAAGGAAGTGAGAGCACAAAATCACTGATGTGAACTTAACAGGGCCGCAGGTTTGTGTCCCGAGGAGGCATCAAAGTGGCCTCAGGAGCAGCAAGAAGACCAGAGCACCCCGTGAAGGCAGGCGCCCATCCTGCTGAAGTGCACACACTGAATACACTGAGGCTGCGAGGCCTGCGCCTGATCTCTGAGCTCCCTCTGAGGCGGCTACACAAAACATAGCTTCAAATCACTGACAACCTGGATGCAATGCCACTGTCTACCACAGGGAGGCACAGTTTCAGATGGGATTATGCTGCATGAAAGAAATGCATGACTTTGTATAACACAGAGGCACAATCTGTACCTAAACATGGACTCAGACACAAAGAGACACACATCCAAGCAGTCATCAGCTCATCTGGGAGTTCAGCTGACCAATGGCCACCAGGGGAATTTGCAGAGTCATGTTGTGTCATCTTCCAACTATAATGCCAGATTATCTTCAGTGCCAGCAGCAGCCAGCCTTTCTCTGCTCTTCAGACACTCTCTGTTTATCCGTCTCGTCTCTCGTCTTCTACAATTCTCCTTCCATTATCCACGCTACGCTACACTTAACATCTCTACCCTGTGAAAATCATCTCTCCTCTCTTTGTTGAACTTCCTTTTCTCACATCGTTGAAACGGCGAGTTAGAGTTCAAGGTCTTGCTCAAGGACAATACAGGGGAACACACAGGCTGCAAAGAGGATCAATCCTGAGACCTTTGAGTTATTACAGTTTCCTATCTGTCTGGCTGCGCTGCCACACTTCTGTCTATAGACATAAATGAACCCTTTTTTAAATGCAGCTACCACTATAATATATTAGTAGAACTAAATTCATTCACAGCAAAAAGTACTTGTATTTTCATTAAAAAAATCACTCCAACAGAAAATGTTTTTTTTTTGGATTAATAACTGAATTTTAATTAAGGGATTTTTAAATAAAAATATTTCTCAAGATTACTCAGAGACAGTCAAATCTCAAATACAACTCCACAGCCCCATCTGCTGGATTATCCATCCACTTACTGCAAAGATAACAGGTACAGGTATATTATTATTAAGTTTTTTTTGTGTACCTCTGGTCATATAATTTGGTACTGGGGGTGTTTTTCATGGTTTGGACAAGGTTTCCCCCAATCACAACTCGTACTCACTGGACTGGTATGTTCTCTGAGATCTAATATGCTGTATAGTTCAACACTTAACTTTAATATTTGCCACACACTGACAAAATACCCTCTAGGGACAGTTATGAATGATAATTTAGACCAAAGTCTTCCTCCCACTTTGCATCAACAGTTTGGAGCCAGTCCTGTTTCAATGAGCACTTGGCCTGGTCCATAAAGAAATGGTTTGGAAATGGAGCTTGACTGGCCTGCACAGAACTCTGACCTCCACCTCATCCAATCTGCACTGGACCACACTAACCCCCGGATGTCCACTGGATGATGTTATGTCACGTCTCCATGCCGGTTCCATGAACATGGCTTGCTCAATGGACGAGCAAGCCATGTTCATGGAACCGGCATGGACGAGCAGGAACATTTCCAATATGGATTTGAAACACTCTGCTGACAATTTTTGTAATTTACAAGCGCAGTAAATAGTACATTTGTAGCTCATCTATGATCAGTGTGGTGACTGATACTCTGTACTTTATTTGTTTTAATTACCATAAGCAGCAGACCACCTTAATATTTTCTAATGGTATTTCCTGAACAGTGTTTATTAGCAGAAGGGAAACTATGAAGTTCCTTCTCCTTATTCACAGATTTTACTGAGGAGAGTGAAATAAACAAACAAGAAAAGCTAGTCAAAGTCAATAATTAATGACGCCATCACTGTATATTAATTTAATGTCCAATATGAACCTGTTGGCTATTCTTGTTTGTTTATTTCACTCTCCTCAGCAAAATCTGTGAATAAGGAGAAGGAGCTGTGCAGCTGCAAAGGAGCCAGAACACGATGTTCAGGTGTGCACATCCTCTTTCATGTGCACAAAAGGTGGAGGAACATTGTATTCCCTATATAGAACAATCTTGTTGTATTTATTGGTGATTTAATATTAGATAACCTATTAGAAACCTAATCAAACAAGCAATCAATCAGTCACATAGACAGTCATCCAGTTAGTAAGTTAATCAGTCCTCAGATGTTGGGCTAGTGAAATACTCAGCCAATCAAATTTGAAATACATTAAGTTTTACAAACTGTTCTTATAATGAACAATAATCAGTTTCTGAAGAGGGAATATAAATAAACTAGACGTGGGCGTACTCATGCCTGACTGCCAGTGTATCAGCAGCAGTAAATGAGACCCCAGTGCTGAGACCAGGGTGTGTCGCAGGAAGACTGTTGCCTACTGCCTCGACCACAAAGCCATGCTGGTCAGAGACACTGCCCCAGTTTCCATATTTAACCCCACATCATCTGTGTGTGTGTTTAGCATACAGTACATCATTGGTGCCAGCTGCAGAGTTAGCAGGGTGAGCCATGCCACCCATTGAACCCAGCCGATTTGATTTAACACAGTCATTTGAATGGATGAAAAACAGACAATGCAGTTTTGTTTGTTCCTTTTCGGCTCCTTCTGCTTCTACAGCGTGTCCCCACATGACCACAGGAGCAGAACCTTTTCATTAGTCTGGTCCTAAAGTGGGACGCATTTGGATTTGGGTTCAGAAAGTGAAAAACTCAAGGATCTTTTGACCCTGGTGAGGTGCAATAGTTTGAGCTGAGCTACTGTTTTCCACCTCCTGCTCACAACTGTGGTGTGGCCACTCAGAAATAATCTGGATTCAACAAAGGAAGGAAATCCACGGAAAAGGCAGTTTCTATTGTGCTGTCTGCTAACAAATGTTCCGAGTGTATGTGTGGATTAGTCACGCGTTTATGTGTGTGTGTTTGTGTGTGTGTGCAAACCCATATGTGTCTATACGTGTGCGTTCCTGGGCCGGTGAGTGTGTGTCCCCTGGCTGCCAAAAAAGCAGAGGTGAAGGTTAAGCCTCTTTCTAATCTGCCCTGACACACTGCTATTGTATGTAAACAAAGACGCACCATGATAAGCACACATGATGTTAAAGCTGCAAAAATAACTCCTGACAGTACTGCAATATTGCAATTACAATTTAAATTGCAACTTTTTAAAATTAATTACACAGTATCTGAAATCTTTGCCCAGAGAATAAGGGTGTATTTCTAAAAAAAAAAAATTTGGAGACTGAAAACAATGAGCCTTAATCATACAGTGTTTAGAACGACTGAGAGAAGATCTGTGAGTCTACAGGGGAGAGAAGAGACAGAAGTAGGAAAATGAGTGGCATATGTACAGGGTTTTCCATAGGCTTAACACTGGCAGGCTCCAGGGTGATGGGTGACATAACACATTGAACCTAATCCCAAAAATCTCTCTGCATTTTCTCTTCCTCCTGTTCCCTTAATATACAACAACACAAAGTGCTTGATTAATCCTAAAGAAGGGCGGGGGTCGGGTTCTGCTATATGCGGGAGTCTTGGGGGCTCTTGTGTATCTCGCTCAAGGACGCTTGACCAGGGTAGATACTCTGGACCCAGGAGGTCCCTCTGAAAGCTGGTCGTCCTTCTCCTTCAGACACAAAAGAATGTTTTTTTTATGAGGAGAAACACTATGACGTGACCAATACCTGATCTGAACTTCCTTTGTTAAACATTGAATGACAATCTAGATCATAACATGTTAATGATCAGATTTTAACTCGTCGTAAATCATTAACCCTTTAGAAATTCTCAGCTCAGGAAATATTGTGTGGCTTGATACATACATACATACATACATACATACTTTTTAAATACACTTGCGCAGTCCAGCTGCTGGTTTGAAACCG